TGTTACATGTACCAATGCATACTGCTCTTCTCACACAACATCATTGTTCGAGTAATCGTATATATCAACACATCACACATACCTCACAAACCAGATTCCGCGGTTCGAGAGAGATCGACTCGCTACACATGGCGGTCCCGGTCATCCATTATCGACTCTTCCGCGAGTAAATAAATATATACGCTAACCCCTCATTCAAATACCATACACGCCCGCTTCACTCATCGCTCTCCTCTCGAATGCGCATCCCAATGCGACTCCAATCCCGATGACTCCACTCCAGCTCCCTACTTCTCCTCAACCAATCCTGCAGAACCAGATACAAGATCCTGAGATCGACCAGTCTTCTGGATTCCTTATCGGGCAAGAATTGTTTGAAGCCGTAGATGATATCCAGATAATGGACGTCCAATAGATTGACCCACTGGATCGTCGTCTCCTGGGTCGACTGATGGATCATACATGCACGCAGGATGTTTAGAAACTCGTCATAGATTCCGGGGCGAGTGTATTGGAAAGCGTTCTGTGGTGTGGCAGTCAACATGTGGCGTCGTTGTAACATTCCATCATATGATACAACGGACCTGAATTTGATGGATATAGTTCTCTGCGTCTCTGCGAGTTGGCGGCGGTGGGGTATTCATGTTGTTCTCGGGGCTTCAATATTATCAGGAAGTCCTTGTATCCTATCTTGGGATGTTCGAGTTAGCTCCAGGCAGTCTATCCCAGTTTAACACCCACCTCTTGACTGTTGCAGTTGAGTTTATGGAGAAATGGGCGTGGTAACGTTGACCTTGACGTTCAGCAAAGAAGGTGACGCTACAAGAGTAAAAGCGCCTTTCACGAGATAAGAGGATAATTGGATGTTGGTAAGCTGGAATATTGCTAATGCTACTAATGCAACAGATGTTTAGAATGCTGATAAAGGGAAAATGCTTAAATAGTTGTATGCAAAGGGTGAATGAAGCTCCAGTAAGTCTTACAATAAGATATCGAGAAGAAGCATATTTAATGGTATCTCTGAAAATCAGACAAGGAATGGTCCTGTGTTTGGAAGTTAAAGTCTCTTAGAAAAGTGCAAGTACTAACAGGACCTATCATAGGGGCGGCTTATCTGTTCGAAAGACCCAATATTAAATATATATGTAGAAGGAACGAAGCAGATACTATTACCATGGGTAATTATCAAGCTTCCTCATTTGTGTCACCGGTGGCATCCCTTACAAACACTTTCTCAGCATATTCAGAGGGAACCCCAGCTCTTGTCAAGACGGCGGCATCGGTCAAGGCAAGTGAGTTTTTTAAATGCAGCTATAAAGTGGATGGAGAGAATACATGGATGGATTCTGGGTTGCAAATTCGTGTGTTGAGGAGATTGTCCGCACCTTTTTCGCTATCAGTTAGCATCATCACATCAAAGCATACGGGTTATTGCTCCTCGTGCACACATCTCAATCACCTCCGAAAAGAAATAAATTTGCATGATCTTGACTTCTTTAAGCGGTCTGCAATATAGCTCTACGATGTTATCTTGCAGATACATATTCACCCTTGTTCGTCGAAGATAACTGATGACAACCCAGAGAACCTGCCAAGAACTTGCGTTTCCTCGAAGATTGGAAACAAGCATCTTGCTCACGAAGGCTCAGAATTTACCATCCACCAAGCTCCTGCTGGATTCGTTCGAGCATTTGAGTACCGTGGAACCCCATTTCCCGTTTTACTTTAGGAACATGAAACTTGACCAAGTCCTCTTCAATACCTTTCTCAAACTTAAGTCCCAAATCTTCATTTTTGATGCTGAAATGATTAGCACATTCTTCTTCATCCTTGACATGTGCTTCAGCTCTAACATGCCTCTTATTTTTGTAGTCTGCACACGTTTGGCCTTGATGAGACGCATGGCATGGGATACAAGTCTCAACGAGACATTTGGCACAAGTGCGGGATTTGGTGGGAATATTGACCCGGTAGACTTGTTCACAATCTTCAGTTGGACAATAATGGAAATTATTGCGATGATGACGAATGTACGAAGTGAACGATGCATTAAGTAGCTGCTCAAAACTTTTAGATGGTAGATTTTGCTCAATCTCTTGTAGGGAGAGGACGACATCGCATCCAATAGCCTTACAATTGATGGACAGCTCTTGATCGCTAGGTATGGTCAAGGAGCACAGATGCTCAAAGCATTGAAGACAATACAAATGGCCACAGTTGGTGCGGATTGGATACTCAGAAGGATACCAGCAAACGCTGCAGTTGTCTTTGTCTTCACCTGTCTCCATCTTGTCAATCCTGCCAGCAGCAGTACTCCTGGACTTTAAGACAGCCATGGCAGTGTGGTAATTCTTAAGATTACCGGCAAGTAAGATCTTTTTTGGATTCGACAATATATCAATCGAAGCAACATCTTTTCCAAGAACTGATACTATTTGATCAAATCCGCCACCTGCTACCCACAAAAAGTCACTTGGAGTGAGCTTAATAGCATAACCTTCTACTTCTGATGTGACAATTCTGTGAAGTGTGTGTTGAGCGCTGTCGATATCTCTGGGTAAACCATAAAGCCGAAGTTGTTGTCTTGCTCTGTCTCGATCAATAACAACGTTATAATCGTCTGCAACTCTCTTGATCTTCATTAATCCAATTGGTTGCATGAAGTAGTCATTCCAAACTGGCTTACCCCCTACCAGAGCCACTGTACCGATCAATATCTTCTCCAGCTTATTTTTGGCGTTGGTAAAGTTCTCTCCGGGCTCCCCGTCAATCTTTAAAGTTGTGAACTTCTTTGCGACATCAGTGCTTGGGTATGCCCTGATGGTAATTCTCTGCCCTATCAGTGACTTCTTTTCATCTTCAACTTGCGATTGTACAGCCGAGTATATCTTGGTGACAACCTTAAACCGAGTCGAAATGATTTGTTGAGCCATGATTTTTCCCTTCCCCAATATTTCAATGTTTCTATTGTTTAATTGTGCAATTGCCTCTCGGGCACCTGACTCGTCTTGAAATCGTACCCTTACTTTAACTCTCTTAGCTGTCGGATCTTGAACAGGATCCCAAGACTCTACGGGGCCAATGGCTGAGCTTAATTTCCTGACATATTCACGAGATACTTCGTCAGATGCTTCATAGCTCGGTCTGCCAATTTCCAATTCATCTGGTCTGTATTTCTCATCCATCGCACCTAAGATGTCCTCTTTGTCTGCAAACACCGGTACATTCTTCAAGATACATAGGAATCTGTGTTTTTGATCAGTCAAGATGTGAGAGATAATAGGCGAATCGCAAGCTAAATGTTTGCCTACAACTCTGTAGTAGCCGTTGTTGAAGTTGTTGCATATCATATTGGCGACGTCCTCATTTGCATATTTCAGGACGGCCATCTTAGAAGATCGATACCAAGTCAAAAATACTTCATGGAAGTCGAATTCACTTGAAAACCCAGAGACGGGAAATAAACTTGTAGGGACTGGGCTCGCCTTTAATTCGGAGTACATCTTAAATCTTCTCCAACCAGACTCCAATTTTTCGCTTAAAATCGAGCCGACGGTGGAATCTTCAATTCGCAGGTAGGCAAGGACGGAGGGCGGAGTACCAATGCTAGTAATTCGAATGCAAGTTCCATATGTGCCAAGGTCGAGTCTAGCTAGCATTGTCTCAATGTACTCGATGTTGGTATCCTGTGGCAAGCCGGTGATTCGGATAGTTGTAAAGTCAGACGGAACCGAAATTTTGTAGACTTTTCCTCCATCTTCAAAGATTGTCAAGGCTCCAGAGATTGCTCGTGCAATCATACCTTTTTGTACATTATCCTAGATAATATATCAGTTGCAACTTCAAAACACTAGCACGTTGAAAAGGGGGAAAGCCATACATAATTCTTAGTGACTGCAGATGGTACATCTAGAACAGCAGATGATGTATCGATGGCGGTGGAAGAAAATGTATAAGTCTTCTTGGTATGTTGCGTATCTGGAGGCTTGGTTTCGTTGTGATCGGGCACAATTGGATTATGTAGGTAAAGGCAATCACTTCCCTTTGTACACTTTCCCCTGGCAAAAAAAATGCAGGTTGTGCGGACAGGAGTTTGTGAAGAAGTTTTCACTTCAATCTCATGGCTGAAAGGACAGTTATTACCCCTTTGACATCTTCCTCTTGCAAAAAAGCTACAGAGTGGAGTGGCAGATGGTTTTTGCGACGGAGTTGCTGGCTCAATTCCATGGCTAAAAGGACAGTCTTCACCCTTCTGACAATGACCTTTCGCAAGAAACCTACAAGCAATAAGTTTTGTTGCTATAGGACGTGAATTCTGACCAGGAGGTTGATTTTCGTCGTTTGAGATCAACGAAAGAATTAAATCAGGCATGTGTTTTGTGATGGTTGTATCATGGCTGTATTGACAAGTACTGCCACGACCGCACCCGGTAGCAGTTATGAAGTACTTGCAGGGTATCATCATAGAGGTTTAATTCTCTCGTCGGATGGATGGCGTTTGAAAGTTGTTGATGTATTGGTTTTCTTTGGTAGGAAGTGTGAAATTGTATGTGATGAACACTTATCTCTTCTAACAAACGTCGAGTTGACTTTGCAATTTCAAAGTAGGCACCTAGTCTGATTATATTTGAAGATGAAACAAGAGTGAAAATATGGCCCTGTTGAAAATCGTGATAGTGAATGTGTTGAATCCTGGCAAGAGAATGGGATTGCTTTCCAGTCTACCTTTGAGATTACCCGGCGATACGAATACTTCTTGGATGATACCAATGATCAGGAAGAATGTAATCGCTCTTGCTCACTGTTTACCTTCCGCAGCCAAAAGGAATGAATGCTGAAAATAGTGAAAGTTACGCGGTCTCATGCCTCACCGTCGCGAAAAAGAATGAAGATCAAAGAGCATCTGCCAAAGTGCTGATCTAAGTGTAAATTATCCCTCGATTGATACCTGGTAGTGTGTTTCAAGAGGGGTAAGTTTGAGATGAAAGTATTATTTGAAGTTATATCGCAAATGTAGGTATGATTGGCGGGAAGTGATTAGTGGAGTGCAATGAATAACTTTGGTGAAGTTACTTTTTAAACGCTTAACAATTTAATTGATTGCGCTAAGGAACTTGACTTTCGAAGCAAGAGCGTCTGATGGGTACCACCTTCCAGATTTATCAGAAGATATGTGTATTTGTGACTTTCTTCCTCCTACCTTCTGTTTTCCTTTCCTTTCTTTTCATTTCTTTCCTCTCCTTCTCTTCTCTATCCTTGCCTTTGCTTTCTTGCTTTGCTTTCCTCTTTCTCCTCCTGCTACCTTTCATCTCTCAAACCTTCCAGACTTCTCAAGTCAATCCTATATCAAACTTTCCCATTCCACGTATCTCTCCGAACCCAAATGTCCCGATGCCAATAATCTGTCAAATTCCTCTTGCTTTGCCCCATTTCGCAACCTCAAAGGCCATTTCTCAACCAATGTATTCTTGGTTTTGATTTTTAACCCTTCCATTTCACTGATTTCATACAAGCAACATTCCTTCATAAACCTATCAAAGAGCTCGTCAAGATCTTGAAACTTAGATCTCGCATCGTTGTATCTCAGAAAGTCCGCATTGTAAGGCTGAAGCATGTCTCGTTGAATTGTCATATACCTATGTAATTTTGCTGAATCTGTTGCTATGCTTTCAATGTAATCCTTTTCAGTACGGCTTTCATGGACAGCGTTGAGGAATAAAGCAAGAAGTGTGGCATGCGGATTCTGTGATTTACGCTTCAGGTAAGGAGCGAAAGTCATCAGAAGTTTTTGAGGTCCAATGTAGCCACGGTCTCCAATATTTGAAACCTGTGAACTATCAACAATCTATACTACACTTACAAACGGTCAAAGATTACCTCAATTCTGTCGAAATAGACCTTTCCAATGCCGCGCTCCTTCATGATACCTGGCAGATCCACTGCATCGAGTTCGAATAGTTGAAAGCGGATTTTCAAATTCTTAATTCGCTTGCAAAAGCTTTGAAGTTGGTCTTGAAGGTAGAAATAAAGGCTGCCATAGATATCGTTTCGAGCAGGTGAAGGTTTAGAAAGGTGTTCCTCGAGAGGCCATCCTTCCAATGGGTCGGCAGAATCCATCATGGGCCAAAATTCAGTACTCTGAAACAGCGTTCTGTCGTTACATTAGCAAGTACACTTTCGAAAGACTTGAAGATATTTACGGATTTGGCATAGTGAAATCCTTGCGAGAATATCCGAAGGGAAGAAGCATGCCATCAGTACGGAACTTAGTAGCACAGACACGCCATGCAGGTGGCCGAGCATAAAATTGCCGCTCGATATAATCTCTTCTCGAGGGTGGCAATGTAGTGTCAACCATTACTTTTTGTGCCTTACTAGCTGATAGTCCATCTGGAACCTTGAAAAACGAAGGAAGGAGATCCCAAGAAGCCTTCGGCAATACCAAACTTATGTTGCGAGTGCCGAGTGTCCAAGTTTTGGATTGCAAAGATTGCCCAGGGCGGCCGGCCACTTTTTTACAAACATCTTCAATCAACGGGAGGACTTTTTCTTGAAGTTTCCGCAAGTACGAATCAGTTATGAATGCAGAGTACCAGACGTGAATCATGATGTCTGCTGCTTCAATGGGGTCAAATACGAGAGCTGTGAGGAGCAAGATTGCATTCCGAGCGACAATGTCAAAATCCTTGTCGTTAATTATAAGCTCACATTTGCCCTCATACGTAATTGGGAGTTCAACGAGAGACTTGACAATATTTCTAATATCCCCAGATGCTGTAGTCTTGTCAGTCAGCGATTTTCCCATGGACTTGACGCCTACCCGCAAATAAAAGATTGAGTTGTTCTGGCAAATCTTTTTCTTCATTCTTGCAACACTGAATTATATCAATGGCTGGAACATTACCCCATAAATACTTCTTTCTTCCGTGTTGCACCATAGTCACCCACTGTTCAGCTAGAGCGGGATCGTCGTTGCCTCCAATAAATGCCGGACGACGTTTCTCCACATCCCACTGTGGTCTCCAAGATTTCTTCATAAATGGAGATTTGCAATCCTTCTTGTGGGTTTTCCAATGTGCAACTTGGCAATCTTTGCTGCAATATTGAACCAGAAAACATCCATTGCAAGCTTTCGAGGCGATATTAGTACATGGAATCCCTCCATCATCTTCATCTTGATCAACATTGGCGCACGTAACTTTTGGGTGCTTCTGAGAGGAATTAGCCATGATAATCACAAGATTATTGAATGTTCTTGAACATAATATACGACAAAAAAGGGAGAGACGACTAGAGCCTCTTCATATAAGTCCAACCTCCGCTCGCAATTTCTCATAGAACAAGGTAACACAAAAACAAACGTCCATTACAGGGTATTCATTGGAGCCACCTCAATCAAAAATCCGATGTAACATACCGATGGGGATCTGCACCTTACTGTCGCCAATGCAACGGAACAAACACATTACTGCGATCATCCGGACGTAGCCGAAAAAACGTTCACAATTTCTTGTTTACTTTTCGAGGCTTTGGTCCTTGATTTAGAGCGATTTAGAGCACATTCTCTGGTCGATTTTCTGCATTTTGCATTCTTGATAATCATACTACCTTTCGTTTGAATATCATAATTCGAATCTCACATCAAACATAGCGGCAAACAAAGATCAATCCCCCTTACCCCCTATCCCACTCTGACAAATTCCAACCAACAAAGCACTGCACGTCAATAGTAAAGTCTTAACTCTCAATGACCCATATTCTTCTCTCCTTGCCTTGCATTACAAGAAAACGTTTCACTTCTCATACAAAATTACAATTCCTAATGACCTCATCCCAAGATCGAAAATCGCCACTTCAACCCTCGAGGCCCCAGAGAAGGACTTATCGGTCTTTTATGTTAGAACGGTCCAGGCATCATGGATAAACGTTTCAAAAAATAAGATATGTCTTGCATAACTTCAAACGCGAGTGGTAATGTTTTCATGAATGATAAAAGATAGACCAAGAAAGCGGCCGCCAACCGGCCTCAAAAGAAAAACTTTCCTCGGGCCTCTGATCTCTTTCGCAAGAGCGATTTGAAGATGGATTGAATTTGGCTATGCTATGGTCTCGAGACCTATTTTTGAACCGCCAACAATATTTCTTTGCCGATGCGGGATTTTGCTGGTTATATGTTTGTATGTTTGTGTTCAGTTGTTGGTGGTTGATTTTCTCAATCTTGACGGATCGTTCAACCCAGATATTCACAACCGACACATTTATACCTCAATTTGCTTTACCATTTCTATGTCAAAGGAATACTTACACAGTTAGTGGCTGTAGATTTGTACCCGCATAACTTCAACCCCCTTCTCGACTTCTTACACCATCCCCAATATCATCAATCCATTCCTACCATCATCGCCATCAACCCCTCTCCACCCCTTCCCCATCCCAAACTATGTTCTCAAAACCGCATTTTGAAGTCTACAGTCTCTCCACAAGTGGCTCCCTCCTTAGCACCGAACTCATCTACATCTTCGATTCCCGCGCTGAAAGATCTACCCACTCCCTCAAATTCCTCTACCACGAATCTGCCTCCCTCCCTATCCCGCTCCCCACTCTCACCCAGACCTCCGTCCCCAGCAGCCTCGAATACCTCGGCTACATTCGGGGCGAATCCCGCGTGAAGAGGGCGCGCGCGCTCGCTAAAAACGTGCAACGGAGTGTCGAGCAACCATTTAAAAGATTCACGAATGACGTTATAGAAATTTGGATTAAAAGAAGATTACTGCTCTGGGATCGGGATCGCACGCCGTGTGAAGTTGACGACTCGATTTTGGATGAGGAAACTCTTAAGACTAGGGATAAGAATGGAGGACTCTCGAAGTACGCAAAGGGGATGATTAGGCATGGAAAGAACGGGGATTATGACTCTTCATTTTCATCTTCATCCTCGTCTTCACTTGCCTCCACCTCCCCATCTCAACTTTCCCTCGGCCGCTCAACCCGAGAATCCCACAGGCGTCTCTCTCGAGCCCGAACAACGCACAATCCCCCCTCAAGCACACACAGCTGGTCCTCAAAATCCTCTTCCAACCCCCCCAAACGCTTCTCCTTCTCTGTTTCCCTTTCCGCGAATTCAAGTTCAAATCCCCGACACAAATCTTCACCCCACTCTCGTTCTCATTCTCGCTCTCGCGCTCCCCCCTCTTCCTATCACGACCAAAATTCCGATTACGATTCCGGAATCGGTATGTCCGAAGACAAGTTCAACCCCCACGATGACGACGATGCAAAATCATCGATATCCTATTCATCCATCAACCCCGGCTCATCCATCTCGCATTCTGATCGTTCCTCTTCTTCTTCCCACTCCTCTGCACCCCGTTCATCCCATCGCGCCCACCCCAAAAAGGATGTCTCACCCGCTATCTCCGATCTCGACGACCAGCGCAAACAAGAAGACGCTGTCCGTGATCGCATCTTTAGAGATAAGAAAGCTGAGTTGAGGAATTCTTCTTCTTCTCCTTCTTCTTCTCGTCACCCCCCTCCTTCTTCTTCAGGTTCAGGATCCCAATCCCGATCAAGAGCACAATCACGAAGAAGTCAAACCCCCACCCACGCATTCCACGCACCGCGTTCTAGTGATCCGTTTGGACTTAATGATCCGTTTCGACTTTCGGGTGCGGGGGAGCCGGGGTCTAATCCATGGATTCGGCGATGAGGTTGGGTTTTTTGGTTGTAGGACACCACAGGACAGTATGGGTAAGATATAGTGGGTAGTAATATCTGTGTTGGTTTTTTTGGCGGGCAGAGGTAGCTTGTTCTAGTAGCTTTCGGGTTGGGTTATTAAATGAGAAGAATATCATTCATAGCTCCTAGTACTTGAATCATTCTATTGAATAGTATAATACATTACATTACAAACAACATAGTACAATATTAGTAAAAAGCAATCCTCTCCATCTTATACCGCACTAATCATACAATATCATAACATAACGTAACCCCGTTTCAAACTCCACCTCACGTAGGTATCATCTCGCCAAATTTCAACCTCAACCTCACAAACCATCCATATGTCATGAACCCAAACCCTTATAAATTTCCTCCTCTTCCCCAGCTCCTACAGCCACCCATGGAACCCTGGTTTCCCCCCTTTTATCCTCCACTGCTCTCCCTTCCAGATCAATGCCCCAACTGGTCCAAAAAACACAAATAACACAACGGCAAATGTAAACCACGCCCATGTAAACCCTACTTTATCTGCGAATGGCAACGCGAAATATCCGACGACGAATGAGAGACCGCGGGAGAGATTGAAGAGAACGCCTGTTTCGGGAGTTTGTGGCTTATAGCAGTCTGAGACGTAGGCATAGAGGGTTGTGGAAGCGATTTGAAGACCGAAGACACCTGAGGAGAAATGTTAGTCAGGGTTAGGTAAAGGAAGAAGGGAGTTTGAAGCGGGAGAATAAGCTTTAAAGAGAGGGTTCGAAGTGAGGTTTCTTGGGGAAGGATAGCAAAGAGGGGTTCAGAGAAAGAGAAATATGAGGAAGAACAATGGAAAATAGAAGCAAGTAAACCATAAACATACCAAGAGCCAGTCCAATAAGCGGAATAATAAAATGAGTTTTCCCCACTGTAGCTCCAAAAACAATCAATCCCATTGGCATGAATACCGCTGATAAACAACAAAGATAAAGTCTATATTCCGGTTTCCTTATATTTCCATTTTTCTTTGCCATACGATACATGACATAGTCACTTGCTTTTCCAGCGCTGAATTCTCCCAGTAAACTCCCAATCATGAGTGAGACTCCCAGACAGGCACCTATTGGACCAGGCTTCAGGTTATAGAATTCGGTGTAGATGGCGGCGATAGAGATGGCAGGCATGACATTGATGAAAGTCCATCCCCATGTATAGTACCAGAATGGAAAGAGAATGGAAGGGTAGCGGAGCATGTAAAAAGATTCTAAGAAGTGGGAAAATTGGAGTGAGCGATTAGGGAGACAATTCCCGCGAAAATCAAAGAGAAGTTCATAGTACGTGCGGGTTCTGGTACGTGTGGAGAGGTAGGATGGGTCGCGAGAGAAAAGAGTTTCGGGAAAAAGAAATATGGCGAGGAGGAGAGAAACGCAGGTGCTGATGGCTCCAATCCAGTAGTCCCATTGCCAGCCTAGGGATGACCCAAGGAACCCGCCAACTAAATTAATTATGTTAGCTGGTTTTTCGAGGAAAGCGTAAAACTCAAGGTGACTTGACTCACTAATCGCAGCCACATGAGCACCGTTTGTAACAAAGAGGGAGTATACACCAGTAGCTTCACCTCTCTGATGAAGAAAAAACATATCATTCACACAAGCGGTACCCACCGACATCATTCCACCGAACCCAAAGCCACAAAGAGCACGTGTACCCACAAGTTGTGAAAAAGTGTTTGAACGAGCCGATGTTACTCCTCCAATAATAGTCAAAACTATTGCGAATAAGGTGATAGGTCTACGACCATAGATGTTCGCCAAAGGCGCATAAATGAATGGTGAAACACCACCCATGATAATTGCCGTAGTTGTGCTGTACGAAGCCACTTTTGGACTAACATCAAGCGCATCACTCAGGAGAACCAGACTTGGATTCACGAGTGCGGCATTGTAAGGTCCTAGGAATGCCATGTAGCCAACTTGAATCAGGACGGCCCATTTGAGCCATGCTGGCCAATTCTAGTCGATCATCAACTTTGTACTTTTTTTATCGAATGGATAAAATCCGGATGAGATGAAGGGATGGATGTATTTGGAATCTTGAGATAACCTGGCAATATCGGGTCATGATTAGAAAATTACAACATACCAACGGATCATCTTTAAAGCGACTGGGCTGGGGTACTAATGGTAATCCATGTTGATCAAGCTTGATTTCTGGGGTTGGAGATGTCGAATTTGATTCCTCTAAACAAAGGGCAGATTTTTGATGAGAGTCAAATTGGTCAATATTTGATTGACTTGATGACATGTTGGAATTTTTGATGCGAAGACAAGAACTGCCGACCTTTATCCTTGATCATGAAAAGATTGTTGGTTGACCAAAAGGGTGAGAGTAGTTTTGAGAGGTTTGAGAGTTTTGAAAGATTTCGAGGACCAATTCCGAACTACATGCTCATGTTGATGTTGATGTACTATGAAAAGAAAGGGCATTAGCTCCCATGATTGTATAGGTATATATATATATAAGTATATATAAAAAAGAAAATATGTTTATGTATCTTTTCGCGGACTTTGTGTAGAGGAATCGTTCCAGGTATTATATCTTGTACTATAGATTTATAATAACTATATGGAAACACAGCAAACGAGCATAAACTTTACGGAGGTACGATACGATATGTTGTCTTCCAACAACCTTCCAGATGGATAATGGAATGATCAATGAAGTGTACTCCGTACAGCAACAAAACAAAAAGACGGTACAACATACCTCTTTCTGAACGATCCGATCCGAAAACGAGGACCCGAGAGAATGGTAAAGTGAGACCAATGAGGCACGGAGATATGTATAAACAATGGTATGAATGATAAATGTATGTTACAATAGCTTGACAGGGCAGGCAGGACAAGGTAGAAGAAAACAGGGGATTTGTGTCATCAATTGGGATTAGTTTATGGATTGGATATGTACGGAGTATGTACTCTGTATGTGTATATATATGTACTCCGTGTGTATGTAAGGATTAAAACGTTCTCGATCGATGGAGTGAGATTTGATAATTGAAAAAGTGGATTGATGGATAGATAGATTGACTGATAGAGAGATTGACTCAATAACCTTATGAATTGAACCAACGGTTTTTGATACAAGGAATACAGCGCAAGAAGTAAAATGACCGAGCAAAATCGATCGTTCGATATGGGATATATTGTAGGTAAGGAAGAGCGACGGCGGTGGTTTAAAGAGGAAGAAGAAGTAGACGAGGGAGAAGAAGAAGAAGGGTAGGAGAAGGAGAAGAAGAAGAAGAAGAAGAAGAAGAAGAAGAAGAAGAAGAAGAGGGCTAGGAGAAGGATACTGAACCGGTATGTCTTTCTTTTTTACTCGAATGAAGAAACGATGTGATTGATGATGTACATACCCAAGCATATATTGTTGTATCAACACATCGGGGGGTTTTTTCTTCTCTCTTTTCCTTTTTCTTTTTTCTTTTTTCTTCTTCATTCTTCATTCTTTCCCCATTTTATACCTAGTCGGCGGAGTGCCAATCTCAGCTAATAAGTTGTATTGGATACGAAAAAGCTTGTTAGATACGGAAGAGAGAAAGAGATGATGGGAGTAACTCAAAAGAGTGAGAGGTGAAAGAGGGGAGGAGAGGGAACGAGAAGGGGGAAGGCGTTTATGGGGCGTCTGAGTGAAGACTTGGCCCGAACTTGATTAAGTTTTGAACTTTGATTTTGATATCCACTTTTAATGACCCACATCGAGTTTTGATTCGCTCGCTTAAAGAGTATCTTACGCACTCTCTGTGGATCAAAAATGGAGATATACCTAGGTAGTACCAAATACCTAGTACGGTGGGGTGGCACAAAGTATTGAATGTGCGAGTGTGCCAAGAGATAGTTGATTATATAATCAAGGGTACAAGCAATTGGATGATTCGAAGCAAAGCACCTGCTGGGGCAACAACCGGTACTTACCTCCAGAGCAGGTAGGTACTAGGTAGATAATAAAAGCAGCGACTCGGACTAACAAATACAGACTTCAGGTGATGATGGAATTGTGTGCTTTTGGATCATTTCCGATGGCGACCGGTAACGGAGGTTTATTAAGATCCATAATATGTTGATCCGTATACATAGATATACATACCATACCAAGCTACCTTATTACGAAAGAGATGTGTTATTTTACCGGGCATGTCTAGAGACGAGGTAAATCGTAAATTGTTGAAATTTTATTTACGAAGAATGGATTATAGGGGGGCTCGGGGGCAATCAATAGGTACTAGGTAGGTACCTGGGCATTGATTCGTAACAAGTCGCAGTACTTAAATGACTGGAGACTGGCTCCAGTGTATCGGTACCGACGGGAAAAATGAGGTCTCATGGCTAATTGATCATGGACAATGGACAATGGATAATAGATAGATAATGGTGAATGGCATGTTACATTTCATTGAGATTCCTCGAATCAAAGGTTCAATGCAATTCGGAAAGAACTGATATCCAATGAATCATGAGAGCATAGTAAACAAACTATCTTGAATCATACCCAGGTAGTAATTTAACCAAGTATTGGAATATGTATCGATATAAAAATCGATAAGATAAGAATGGTTCACTCACTCGATGCATCAACACTTGCTCGTGCAGATCTCCCTATTTTTATGTGTGCTAGATATACTTAAGTACTGGCGATGACCAATGGCCATAAGTTTTACCTGAAAACTTGATGGGTGACATGAGGGAGATGGATTCCCCTCAATCTACGATAACAACTGATGAATATCATGTATTAGATTTACTTTTTTTCAAAGTCTTCCACCTCGTCAAGAACTACCAAGTTGAGATGGATGACACCTACTAAGTACTTCAATGCTAGGGATCTACTATGATGAGCAGCTGGGGGCGAGGAGGGGATGCATTTAGTGTAAGGACTGGCTCGAGACTGGGAGACTGGTAGCTTAAGATCTGCCTGTCATTGAAACCTATTGACTCTCTTCGGAGCAAACTTCCAACTTTACCCATCTGTCTGCAGTAGTATACTTTCATACTAATGTCATGTTCCGATTAGGTCATTCACAGGGGCTGATCATAGGGAAGTCTTACAAGTTACAAACAAGTCACAGTACAAGCAGGTCCAAGTCCAACATCATAATATCGTTAGTATTCGGAAATAAGAGGAAGACCTACTGGGCTATTACCCAGGTACCCTTGGTACATCTACAAATTTCAAGGGTATCGATACGGAGTAGAGAGTGCTACATACTCCCTACACCTACATCTACCGGCAAATCATGAACCCTAATTATTATATTCATACCTCTCACGCGACGCGACGGGCAGTTGATTTTCTCCATATAGAGCCTCTGTATACCTAGACAGTCTCTACTTACTAGTACTTATTAAATCTGTCTTCCAACATATTCAAACTGCTGACATGTAATGAATCCTGGTTAAGGTCAATGACTATCTACCTACCTAGACTCCTAGGAAGGAAGGATATATGTACTAGCTCACTAGGTATGTCTGTCTCTATGTGCCGGTACTTTTTAATGTTTACATGACATGACCACCTACTGGCACCGGCCCAAAACGATGGCGAGAAAAAAAAGAAGCTAATAAAAAAAAGTTGATAAGTCAGCATCAGCATCAGCATCAGCATCAGCACCAACATCGACTTCTCTCCTTCTCCCCCTCTCCACTACCTGCCTACCTACCTATGATAAGCTTACTAGGCATTTCTTTTATCCTTGATTATTCCATCGCCCTTTCCTAATTATCATCATATTACCTCCTTGTACCTACTTACCTAACCCATCTCTCAAACTTAAACTCTTCATACTCATTCCTCCCTCTTCTTTCTACTAGCCATCTATTCCATATTGTGTCTTTCCCCATTTATATTGGATTCCATATCACACACGAGATCTGAGATCTGTCAATCGGTCAATCGCATTCAGATACTACCTAGCACCTAGTACTAGCACGTACTAGTACACTAATTGCACTTCATCCGAGTAATTGTATTGTTCCTGTCTAGTCATACAATCATAACGAAATGAATTGATACATCTTCATTCCTGTACTCAAGCCCTTCATCCATAAAACCTCCATGATTCATCATAATCCTTCACATTCATAATTGTCACAAATTATTAATCGCCATATCAAAATCTATACGACTCTCTATCTCTTGACCCCCCGGATTTTGCGGGGTTAGATCTCACTCTTCCCCTCTCCCCTCCCTGCGCATAGAAGATGGATTCATTCAAAAAGAAAAAGCCTGGAAAGGTCCGTATTGCGGATCACCTGCGAAAAAGAGCCCTGGTTTCTTGCGATCGTTGCAAAAGGCGTAGAGTGCGTTGCTCACGAAATGGAGAGGATCCCTGCCAGAATTGTGTGGAAGCCAGTGTAGAATGTAAATCCACCTTGCCCCGGAAGACTCGAATTTATGGAAGTGTCGAAACGCTTAGTATGCGATATCGCGTGCTGGATGCGGTTGTCAAAGGAATCTTTCCCAATAGGGATACAAGTGATATCGACGTTCTATACGAGATTGCTGCGGAGCATAAGATAACGTTGCCTGACTTCACGGGAGACAATTTTACTACGGGCGAGATACGCCTGGAGGAAGTTTTTGCACAAGTCCCAAAGGAATTGTCAGCGTCGCCAGCTTGTTCCGAGGGTAGCCAACGAACCTTGAAAGACGAGCCAACGCCAACAGAGAAATCTGTAACCTTACCCAGTTCGCCACAGGAAACACTGGTTCCCACACCTTCGGGGGGACAATCACATTTCATTGGACCATCTTCAAGTTTTGGTTTTGCCCTCAATCTTCGTGCGCTGGTAGGATCGTATGCTCAAGTTCTTGAACCGAACAATCCAAGTATGAAGTTGATGATAAACTTCGCGACTTCAAAATGGAGCAAAGGTTTAGAGCCAAAGGCGGCCGAAGAAAAGCACACCGCCCCTGGACCAGCAGATCTCGAACGAGATTCTCAAGTATCTAGAAGCCGTCACGTGCTTCCGCTTGTCCCAGGCAAAGATCCATCAGAAAAAGAGCCTCTATCTTCACTTCTACCCGCTCGAGAAATCGCGGATGCCTTAGTTCAGTCGTTCTTTGAGCACGTTCACCCAGACTTTATGCTTTTTAGACGTCGCTCCTTTGAACAGCGCTACGAGAGCACGTGGAGCCAACTTGGTAATCAAGTACAAGATTTTGAACCCGGGTGGCTATGTTCTGTTCTCATGGTTCTAGTACTTGGAGCTCAAATTATCGAGCCACAGGATGATTTGTACCTGCAA